GTCCACAGTATGGACCTGGTTCGTGCCTTGTATCAGAGCACCTGCCGATCCTGTTCATGCCTTGCCATGAACCGGGTCCCTGCCCCTGTCCACGTGAAGACGAAAAACCTCTACTTTGACAGCAGCCTTGGCGCAGCCTATTCATTTCCGAGTGGAATTGCTTGTCCTGGTCCAGTCCCAGCCGTGACCTATACGCTCGTCCTGGTCTATCGTCTTCCCGCGAACGCAACACACCCTTATTTTGGCTGTATCTGGCCGGAAATATAGCTTGTATACATTCCTTTTTAGGGTGCGTTATGTTCTGGGGAAGACGGTAGTCCCAGCCATGGTCCATACACTGGTCCTGGTCAAGTCCTAGCTGTGGTCCATACGCTTCTCCACATAGTGGTTGCGGATCGAAGTCGTGGTCCCAGCCTTGGTCCACAGCATGGGTCCTGGTACAATTCTGGTCGTCAACGAACCGGAAGGAGGATTATGGGCTTCTTCGCAATCCACGGTGGTAGTCGTACAATCCACGGTGGTAGTCGTAGGCAGAGGAAAAGATGCAGAGCCAGGTCGCGCAGGTGATTTCTCAGAAAGCATGAACCTGGTAGCCATACTGGTGAAGTTCATCGTAGCTTAGTAAAAACATAGCATCTGGGGAAACCAAAGATGGATGGCCAGGTGCCGCAGGTGATGTTTCCCTGCTCAGAAAACATGAAGCTGGTCGCAAAGCTGGCTGTGTTCATCCTTGACAAGTACAAATATATCACCAGTGGGGCAAGAGATGGAGAGGGCCAGGTCCCACAGCAGCTATGTGTTTCTGCTTAGAAATGATGAAGCTGGTCGCAAAACTGACTGTGTTCATCATAGCTTAGTACAAACATGGCTGGCACTAGTGGGGCCTGGCCAAGTTCTAGTTGGCTATTCTGTCTACCTTCTTAACCCGAAAAAAAAGTATGTGCAAGGAAATGAGCGATAGCGAACTTCAGAAACCAAGCAGCATCATACACATGAGTCGTGACCTCGAACCAAAAGCAGAATTGCAACACGAGTTTCACCAAATAAGAGCACAGAAAAAGCTCATAAGTGACAATGTTGGAATAGTCTCATCATCATCAACAAAGAACCAATGTCGTCATCCTATCTGGCGCCCTGCGTCCAGACTACAAATGGCAGATCCTATCTAGCCTATCTACAATGCCGCTGGTGACGTCAACAGCTCCCCGAAGTACGAGCAGATCTCGGCCAATGCCGTTCGCCTCAAGCACCAGGTACGTCTCTCGTGTCACTCACAACCTCGATCCCCCACTCACAGATGCCACATGCACCCAAGGACCACCATGCGCCCCATCCAGCATAATGCAGAGCAGCTCGGCTATGGCTGCCTGCTCTCCCTGCTCGCCCGTGAGCGAGTGGGCCTGGCCAGCGATTAGTGCAGCAGCGCTTGCGCAGCATGCAGCCAGTGCCCGAATACCCAATGGGGGGGCAGGGCCTTTCCTATATGGAAGTGCCCTGCCAGCTGCGTGCGCCCAGGCTGCGCTGGGCCTCGTCCCAGAAGCTTCCGGGAGGCCCCGAGAGGCTGAGCCTCAGACCAAACGAATCAGGCCCAGGGCCTGTGGTGGTTACCCGTGCCCAACTGCCCACAGCCTGTGTTCGGTCCATGCTGCGTATCTGGCCCAGGGCCTGCCTTAGTTTGATACGATAGAGGAAGCCTGGGCCTGGGCGCTTTCAACCGACTGGCGCTGCGCAACTGCCTGAATTGTCCCCCAGTTGCATGGTAGTGCAAAATAGGCCTAGGTCGGGCCTGCCTTCACTTAGGGCGGCTGACCTTGCTGATAACAGGGCCCAGTAGGGCTTACCGAGGCCTTGTGCCTCGCATATGTACCTTGTATACGAATACAACATCCGGGGTACATTGTGGTCAAATGTGACGTACCTATGTTATATAACGAGTTTTAGGGTACAACTTTTCAGAAGCCTCTAGTACTGCCATTTTTTTTTTCCTTTTTCTTGTTGAATTTGGTTGGGAATTTCGCCTCAGGCAAAAGTTGTTTGTATTGCAATTTTGTATAAAATACTTTTTTTTTTTTTTTCGGATTTTTGGTGATTTCTTTTGAAAATTGAAATTCTGAAAAAATCAGTAAACAGAATGTCCGTCCTTCAGGACATCCGTTAAAATTGGATCGATACAGAGAGAGAAGATTAGCATGGCCCCTGCGCAAGTAAGGATGACACGCATAAATCGAGAAATGGTCCAAAGTTCCAAACTATATGAAAAAAGAAGTAAACAGAATGTTCCTGCCGTAAACAATATTTTTATCCTCTTTTTATAGTTTTTTTCTTGAATTTGGTTGTGAATTTTGACAGGACCCTCAGGCAAAAGTTGTTTGTATTGCACTGTTGTAGATCATTCCTCCCCCCCCCCCCCCTCTGTGTTTTTCAGACCCAGTACAAGTCATTTTACCTGGTTTGCTTGGTGGGGGTGGGAAAAGCACCAGGGAAAAGCGCCAAGGGATAATTTCAATGAGGCAGTAGGGATAAGAACAGGCGAACCAGAGATCACACGGAGTGAACTTATCAAACATTGATGGCTGTTTTGTTATATGAACCTCAACAAATTCAATTTCCATACCATATAGATTTAGATGTTTTTTTCCCAAAAAAAAAAAAAAAAAAAAAAAAAAAGATTTAGATGTTTTGAATTAAAGGCAACCAACGGTCAGGTCAGGCGGCCAATAAGACACCAACCCCACCCCGGCGTCCGGGGGACGTGTGTATGAGCGGATACATAAATAAAATAAGCTGCTTGTTTTGTTGTGGTGGCTGCGTAGACTCTTTTGGGTGTGTTGCATTCTTCGCTCAGTTGGATAGAGCAACAACCTTTTTCTAAGTTGAAGGTCACTGGTTCAAATCCTGTAGGATGGTGAATTCTTCGGGAAAGTGGGTGGCCGAGTGGTTAAAAGCGACGGGCTGTAAATCTGTTGAAGGTTATATTTCTACGTAGGTTAACAGGAAAGCACTGAGAATCTCATCAGTAATCGGGAAGGGGTCTATGCATCTGCACAACGCAGATTTCATTCTACGACAAAGAAACAACTCCTGCCTAGGGTGAATTTAATATTGGATCTTTGGACTTCAAGTTTTAGAAATCATGGTTTGATGTACGTTCTGGGAACATTCCCGTGCCCTGAAGCAGTCCTCTCAGCAGGAATTGGACATGTCACGCTTAGGACAAAAA